TCCAGATGAGCTATCCGCTCGACATCGCCATTTGCAATGCACACACAACACTGACCGCTTTGGATAATCCGGCATTTGCCGAAACGCTTCGGCACATGACATTGTTGAACGACGGAATCGGCGTCGACCTGGCAAGTCGTTTTTTGAACGGGAAACCTTTCCCGGACAATTTGAACGGTACAGATCTGATCCCGGATATTCTCACGGAAGTTGGATTTCCCCTGAAGATTTTTTTGCTGGGAGCGACGGACCGCCACGTTCAGCTTGCAAAAAAACACATCGAAACGGTCTATCCGATGCACCATGTTGTTGGAGCCCGGAACGGATATTTTGACTTGGCTGAATGCTCGCACGTCTGCGAGCAAATCAATCGCGCCCGACCGGACCTGCTCCTTGTCGGCATGGGCAATCCGCGACAGGAGAAATTTATCGTCGAAAATCGCGCCAGGCTGAATGCCACGGTGGCAATCGGCGTCGGCGCATTGTTCGATTTCATGTCCGGTTCAGTCGTCAGGGCACCGAAATTCGTACAGTCCATTGGTCTGGAATGGCTGTTCCGCCTGTTGCAGGAACCACGCCGCTTGTTTCGCAGGTACATCATAGGGATTCCGCGTTTCTTCATCGCACTTCTGAAACTGAAATTTGGAAAGTCAGACACAGAAAACTAGCGCGCCGAACCGCGTTCAGGATCTATTGCTCGCCAGGACAATGCGTATTTTTTCAACCGTGTCCGCGACGGTCGTTGATGTCCTTGTCCTTGGCAGTTTCGGCCGGTCAATCATGATTACCGGCAATCCCAGTCTGCGAGCGGCTTCGATCTTGGCGTAGGACCTTTCCCCACCACTGTTTTTCGCAACCAGATGCGTGATGCCGCGCTTACGCAGCAGTGACATCTCTTCCTCCGCCGAACTTGATGGCCGTGCCAGAACCAGCTCCCATTGTGGCGGCAAAGGTTGGCGAGGCGGCTCGATCATGCGCGCAACACCGAAAATGTCCGAACGAGGGTAAAAACGGGAGATTTCCTTGCGTCCAACTGCCAGAAATGCACGGGACGCAGACGGCAGCGCTGAAACCGCATCCTCTATCGAAACAACCGGTTCCCACCGGTCTTCCTCGAGAGGTTTCCAGGCCGTGCGTTCCAGGCGAAGAAGGGGCAGTCGACAGTTGCTGCAGGCCTCAAAAGCATTGCGGCTCATCTGCGCCGCAAAAGGGTGCGTCGCATCGATGACCAGGGTGACGCTCTCATCTTCAAGAAATTTTGCGAGCCCGGCTGTCCCGCCGAACCCGCCGATACGTGTGGGCACTCCAAGATCCGGCAGATCTCTGACAACGCCGGCGAAGGAAACGGTCAGGTGCAGTCCGGGAAACGCGCTGCTCAGCCTTTCGGCGAGCTGACGGGCTTCGAAAGTCCCCGCAAGCAGCAAGATGTGATCAGGTGCCGTCAAAGCCGCTTTCTCCCAGGACGTTGCCCTGCCGATCGGTTATCAGAACTTCCAGTGCAACCGGTGCACCCTTGAGAATTTTCCGGACTTCCAGCTTTGTTCGTTTTGCCAGCAAACCGCTCAGGTCGACATTTTCCTCCAGTGACCGGTCGAGTACTTCCTTTGCCGTATTTGCCTGGGCGGCATCGACGATGGAAGAAGGAGACGCACCGGCTTCTGCAAGAAGGTCCTGCAGAAAGGCAAAATCGACGGAACTCCGGGCTGAATGCAGGTCGAGCGCACCTTGCGCCAGCTTTGAGAACTTGGCGAACCCTCCGGCGAGGGTCAGCCTGTCGACAGGGTGATGGCGCAGGTACTTGAGCAGGCCACCGGCAAAGTCACCCATATCCAGGTAGGCTGTCTCGTCGAGAGAATATCGCGCCTTTACCGCATCTTCGGAGGACGTTCCGGTGGCGCCGACGACATGAGTCAGACCGATTGCGCGCGCGACATCGATACCGCGATGGATGGAAGCGATCCAGGCCGCACAGGAAAACGGGCGCACGATACCGGTTGTCCCAAGCACCGACAGTCCACCGACGATGCCGAGACGCCCGTTCATTGTCTTGAGCGCCAGTTCCGCGCCGCCGTCAATCGAGACTTCGATTTCCACATCACCTGTTGCGCCGTATTTGTCCGCGACTTCCCCGATCGCTGTCTGCATCATCTGTCGCGGAACCGGGTTGATCGCCGGTTCGCCCGGCGGGATCGGCAACCCTGGCCGCGTCACCGTGCCGACACCGTCGCCGGCCTTGAACCGGACACCCGATCCGGGTTCCAAAATCCGAACGGTCGATGTGATCAGGGCGCCATGTGTCACGTCAGGATCGTCACCCGCATCCTTGGTGATGGTCGCGCTGGAAACATCACCGGAAATACTGTGCCGGGTGAGAATGAAATCGGCGGTGCCGCCTCTTGGCAGGGAAATCTCAACAGGGTCGGGAAATGTGCCGGTTATGAGTGCACAATAGGCAGCCTTGGCCGCAGCCGTTGCACATGCGCCCGTCGTCCAGCCTCGTCTCAGTTCTTTCGGTTCGTTCCTCGACATGCAGACTCTATAGCTGATGTTGCAGACCGGTGCGCGCTCCTGAGCGACATTGCTCTGAAATGTCGCATTCCTTGTGTTTTCCATCGCGCAGGTGCTTGGCGTTGCGGAAAATGCCGGATAAACAGAATTCATGAACGGTACTGACAAGAACAATAGATTTCCCGATGGCCTGCCGGTTTTTGAATCTGGCTGGGTGTGGCTTGCCGGTGCCGGTCCAGGCGATCCCGGCCTCCTGACGCTGCACGCCGTGAACGGTCTGCGCCAGGCGGATATTGTTGTTTATGACGCTCTAGTCGACAGAAGCATTCTCGACTGGGTCAAACCCGGTGCAGTGACGGATTTTGCTGGCAAACGCGGCGGCAAACCCAGTCCGAAACAACGCGATATCACACTGAAGCTCATCGATTATGCCCGCGCAGGAAAGCGTGTGCTTCGCTTGAAAGGCGGCGATCCATTCGTCTTCGGGCGTGGCGGCGAAGAAGCCCTCGGTCTTGTCGAGGCAGGTGTTCCGTTCCGGATCATTCCGGGTGTCACTGCCGGTATCGGAGGTCTCGCCTACGCGGGCATCCCGGCAACTCACCGTGATTGCAATCAGGCAGTCACGTTCCTGACCGGTCATGACCAGACCGGTTTGACCCCCGATGCCATCAATTGGGACGGGATTGCAAAGGGATCTCCGGTAATAGTCATGTACATGGCAATGAAACATCTGGAGACGATAGCCGGCAAACTCATAAGTTGTGGGCGATCTGTTGACGAGCCTGTGGGTATCGTGTGCAATGCTTCCCTGGCCGGCCAACAGGTTCTGGAGACGACGCTGGGTCGCTGTGCGGTCGATGCTGCAGCTGCCGATATCCAGCCTCCGGCGATAGTCTGCGTCGGAGAAGTCGTGCGACTGCGCAATGGCCTGGATTGGCTCGGGGCCATGTCTGGCAAGATATTGACATCCGATCCACTGGATCTGCGCGCAAAGAACCGAACGGCAGATGCCGGATAGCGAGACATTCAAGGACCCTGGAGGGGTGTTGATTGCGGCACCTTCCTCCGGTGCCGGCAAGACGACGCTTACTCTCTCGCTGCTAAGAGCCTTCCGCAATGCCGGTCGTCTGGTGGCGTCAGCGAAATCCGGTCCGGATTATATCGATCCGAAGTTTCACGAAGCTGCCAGCAGCAAACACTGCATCAACCTGGATGCCTGGGCGATGGACACCGATACGCTGCGCGCCCTGGCGATGGACCAGGCAACAGGGCATGAATTGCTTCTGATTGAAGGCGCAATGGGATTGTTCGACGGCGCGGCGAACGGGAAGGGATCCGCCGCCGAGCTTGCAGCGGCCCTCACTGTTCCCGTGATCCTTGTCATTGATTGTGCCAGGCAGGCTCAGTCTATCGCAGCGCTGGTTTTCGGGTTTCAGAATTACCGGCCTGATGTTCAAATTGCAGGTGTAATCCTTAACCGCGTTGGCAGTGCGCGTCATGAAACAATGCTTCGTACAGCGCTCGCACCGCTGGGTGTGACTGTGTTCGGGGCCATCCCGCGTTCGATGGAATTGACGTTGCCGGAACGACATCTGGGTCTGGTGCAGGCGAGTGAGCACAAGGATCTGGAGACGTTTCTGGAAACGGCGGCAGAGCTTTGCCGCACACATGTTGATCTGGCAGCCATTGAAAGCGCGGCGACCTGTATTCCGGCTGCAGAAGCCATTCGGATGAACCTGCCGCCGCCTCTGGGGCGGAAGATAGCGGTGGCGCGCGACGTAGCCTTTGCTTTTTCCTATCCGCACCTGTTGCACGATTGGCAACGAAAGGGTGCGGAAATCGCTTTCTTTTCACCGCTTGCCGACGAAGCCCCAGGCCCGGATGCAGATGCGATATTTCTCCCAGGGGGGTATCCGGAACTCCATGCAGCGGTCTTGGCAGGGGCTGAAGGCTTCAAGTCAGGAATGCGGCAGGCTGCGAATGCGGGCACACTCATCTACGGCGAATGCGGTGGCTACATGACGCTCGGCGAAGGTCTCATCGACGCGTCCGGCGAAAGGCACGGTATGCTGGGTCTATTGCCTTTGGTGACGTCGTTTGAGGATCGCAAGCGTCACCTCGGATATCGCATGCTGGAACCCGTTGGCGGGTTGCCCTGGACATCTCCGCTCGCCGGGCATGAATTTCATTATGCGTCTATCGTATCCGAGGGAAGGGCTGACCGCCTGTTTTCCGTGCAGGATGCCGAAGGCAACAAACGAGATGACATGGGATTGCGGAGCGGCAATGTGATGGGCTCATTTGCCCATGTGATTTCGTCTTTTTGACCCGCCTCAAATGCAAGAAGATGAGGCAGGCAACCTGCCTGTATCGAGCCTGTCACGGGATCGGTAGGGATCTGGAATAACCGACGCCGTACAGTCGTCGGCCCAATTCATTCCGGATCGGCACACAGCCTTTGCTGCATCCATCCGGAATGACGTGCCGAAATGTTAGGAGGCTTTCGCTTTCTTTTTCGGCCTTAGAACATGCACGTGATCGGCGTCGTAGAGCGCGCTGTCGCGGAAGTCCTGTCCCGGCTTCAGGGCATGGCCAACGAACACGAGGGCAGTCCGGGTGATCTTGGACTTGCGTATCTGGTTCGCAATCGTTGAAAGCGTGCCGTGAAGAAAGGCCTCGTCGGGCCACCCCACGCGATAGGCGACAATCACCGGGCAATCCGGTCCGTAATGGGGCACAAGCTGACGTTCAATCTCCCGAAGGTTCCGGATCGAAAGATGGATTGCGAGCGTCGCGCCGCTCTTGCCGAGCGTATCGAGGTCCTCATTGTTCGGCATGGCGGAGGACTGCATTGCCGTCCGCGTGACGATTACCGTCTGGGCGACTTCCGGGATCGTCAGTTCGGTTTTCAGGGCCGCCGCTGCCGCGGCGAACGCAGGCACGCCGGGGGTTACATCGTAATCTATGTCAAGTGCATCCAGCCGGCGCATCTGTTCCGCCGTCGCACCGTAGATCGACGGGTCGCCGGAGTGCACGCGGGCAACATTCAGACCCTTGTCATGTGCGTCCCTGATTTCGTCGATGATTTCATCAAGCGTCATGGGTGCTGTATCGATGACGCGCGCATCGTCAGGCGCCGCGGAGACAATCTGTTCCGGCACCAGAGACCCGGCATAAAGACAGACCGGACACGACTGGATCAGCCGTAGTCCGCGAACGGTAATGAGATCTGGATCGCCAGGTCCTGCGCCGATGAAGTGAACGGTCATTGGTTTTCTTCTGCCTTTTCGGTTTCCGGCGGTAAATCTGTGTTTGCGGGTCTGGGCGCGTCGATCCGCTTGGCGTAGCCGCGCGGCGTATAGACAAAAATGCTGCCGTCACCCTTCATGATCGCGCGAGAGTTCGAGGAACCGACCAAAACGGTCGTGAGCATATCGACTTCGTCGACAGTCAGCGCTTCAAGGGTGGTTACCCGCAGCGTTTCTTCCGGCCGGCCGAGATTGACACCGAGCACGACAGGCGTTGTTGCGGGGCGATGTTTCAGGAGGATCTCGCGCGCGGCTGCCAATTGTGTACGGCGGCGCTTGGAAACGGGATTGTAGAACGCGATCACGAAATCACCTTCCGCAGCTGCCTTCAACCGTGTTTCGATGGCCTCCCATGGCGTCAGCAGGTCGGAGAGCGAGATTGCGCAAAAGTCGTGGCCGAGTGGTGCTCCGATCCGTGCCGAACAGGCCTGCAGCGCCGAAATGCCCGGCGCGTTGGTAATGCTCACGCGTTTTGCAGCATCCGAGACGCCGCCGAATTCCTCATTGCGGTGAAGCAGCTCGTAAACCAGCGAACCCATTGCATAAATGCCGGCGTCTCCGGACGAGATCAAGGCGACATTCTTGCCTTTGCCGGCTTCCTCGAGCGCGAAACGAACCCTGTCCTCTTCTGCGCCGAGCGGGAAATTGTGGTGCTTTTTTCCAGTGATGTGGCTTTCGACAATGTCCAGGTAAAGCGAATAACCGACCACATCCGTTGCAGCAGACAGGAGCCGCGTGGCTTCCGGCGTCCGCCATTCGTCCTTGCCGGGTCCTATGCCGATCACCGAAAGGTGTCCCCGGGATCTGCCGATGGTGGCCGGGTCTATCGGTTGGGGCGCGCGCGATGGCGCATGTGGCACTTTCGGTTTTCTGTTTTTCAACGACAAGTGCGCCGAAGGCACCGGACGCTGCCAGCGCCGCCCCTTCCGAAACGCCGTGGCAACCAACTTCCTGAAAAACGATGTTGGACGGGTTTTTGAGGCGCGGCGTTTCACGCTGAAGCTCCTCGGCGGAGAAGACGCGCAGCGGCACGCCGAGATAATTGACCAGGTCGTTGACGGCGGCTTCATCCGCTTTCAGATCGATGGTCACGACGCAGGCGACTGCACCCCGGGCGATCCCGGCTTCCGCGAGCCGGCCTTCGACAAGGCCGATGAGTTCCGCCGGATCGCAGTGCCGGGCACAGCCGACACCAACCGCATATTTTTGCGGGTGGTAGACAAGCCGGGTGGGACTTCCTTCTACCGGTTTTTCGGTTGCTGCCAGCGCAATCGATGCGTTGTCGGACTGGTTGAGCTCGGCTTCCAGCAACCAGTCCGCCTGGCCTTCTATGCGAACATCCGCGCCGGACAGAAGTTCGGCCATCACCGGTTTTGCATCTTCCGGGTTGGCAAGGATCCATCCCTTTGGCGGAACGTCGAGGGCAATACCGAGTTTCGTATCACCCGCCGTGGTGATCGCTGCGTGGCCACCCAGGGACTTTGCCAGGATCCTGGCAAGTTCGTTTGCACCGCGATGTCCGCCGAGCAGCGGAACGATGCTGGAACCGTCTTCCGATACCGCAATGACTGGCGGCTCGTTGCGCTTGTCCGACAGGATCGGTGCAAGTGCGCGGATCAGGATGCCGCTGGCGCAGAAACCGACTATCGGATGACCGGCCCTGAATAGCAGTTGCAGATGTTCAATGGTTTCATTGAACTGCGTATCCGCCGTTGGGACGCGGCCCGCCAGGCCGTGAATGCGCGCAGTTGAAAAGCGCTTTGCAACGTCTTCGGCTGTGTCCAGACCGGCTTCGTTCAGGACGAAAAGGATGGGGGAAGCGTCCACGCTTCGTCTCCCTTGTAGATGAGGATCATGGAAAAGTAAGGGGCGGTTTCGGCCTCAAGGTCAATGAGGCGATGAACCTTTTGCTCAGCCAGGCTGGCGCGTTCCACATAGCCGGCTCTTTCCAGAAGACCCATCCGGCCAAGCAGAGCCCTCAAACGGGAAAGGTGGCGTCCGACCTTCATGATGGCGACTGCCTGTGCTTTCGCGATTTTCTGTTCGATCTCGGTGTCCGGCAACGGTCCCGGGATCACTGTAAGAACATCGTTTCTCGACGTCAGCGGACGCTGGAGCTGGGCCGCACAGGCTGTGAGCGACGTGACACCTGGAACGATTTCAATCGCAAAGCGATCGGACAGACGGTCGAAGAGGTACATGAAGGAACCGTAGAAGAACGGATCGCCTTCACACAGTGTTACGACGTCTTCGCCGGTTGCAAGAACTGCTGCAATCTCTTCCGATGCCTTGTCGTAAATCTCCTGGGCAGGAAAACGATCGACACGCATCGGCACGACAATTGGAATTTCTCGTGCAGTATGGGGGATAGTGCCGGCGGCGATGGAGCGGGCAAAACTTTCGCCCGTATCCGGCGCCGGATAGGCAACAACTTTTGCCGACGCAATCAGCCGATGTGCCTTCAGGGTCATAAGTTCCGGATCGCCGGGGCCCAGACCGATGCCGTAAAGTGTTCCGCTCATGATCTGGTCAGGCTCCATTGCGTCACCGGCATGAGCGGGCGCCAGCCGGTCAGACCGCCGACAGCGCTTGCGCGGTGTATGGAAATTTTCTTCAAGTTTCCTCCCAGTGTCCGATAGGCCGCAAGCAGAACGGCTTCGCTCTCCAGCGTCACGGCATTTGCGACGAGCCTACCTCCGTGGGGCAACGCCTTGAGCACAGCATCGATGATGCCGGGCACCGTCAGACCTCCACCGATGAAAACGGCGTCCGGTTCGGGCAGACCCTGGAGGCCCTCCGGCGCGGTTGCGTCGATCAGCTTCAGATGGGGGACACCCAGAGCGACGGCATTGTCCATGGCCATCTGCCGGCGCTCGGCAAGAGGTTCAAGTCCGAACGCCTGTGTCCGGTTCGCGGCCCTGAGCCACTCAATGGCAACGGAACCGCAACCGGCGCCGATATCCCAGAGAACCGCACCGGGATGCGGTTTCAGTTCAGCCAGCGTGACAGCGCGAACGTCCTGCTTGGTCATCTTGCCGTCATGGTGAAAGGCTTCGTCGGACAGTCCGGGCGTCCGCGGCCGGAAGTGGGTTCCCGGTTCGGCGACAACATCAAGGGCAAGTGTATGAAAGGCAGCGACTTCGCAGGACCAGTCTTCAGCGGTCGAGGCAACCTTTCGGTCCTTTTCGCTGCCAAGATGTTCCAGAACGGTCATCCGGGTCTGGCCATAGCCCTCATCCGCCAACAGGTCCGCAACCTCACGCGGTGTGTCCGCACTGCTTGTCAGGACGAGAAGCCGGGCACCTGGATAGAGTGCGCTTCGCAACAGGTCGACGGGCCGGCCATGAACCGACAGGCACTCGCAGTCCTGCACCGGCCATCCCAATCGCGAGGCGGCAAGCTGAAAGGCGGAAAGGGACGGAAACACTCTCAGCTGATCGGCACCGAAACGCCTGACCAGCGATGACCCTATGCCGAACCACATCGGATCGCCGGTTGCCAGCACCGCGATGCGTTTTCCTTGCAATTGTGAAAGGTCTTCAAAAACCGATGCAAAGGGCGATGGCCAGGTTCTCTTCTCGGCAGATCCGACACTTGCCAGGTCGAGGTGACGGGATCCGCCATAGACGATTTCCGCGCGCACGAGTGCATCCTGTCCTCCCGGAGCCAGAACGCCGTCTTCACCGATGCCGATCAGGGTCAGCCAGGGAGAGGTCATTTGTCCTCCAGATGATAGGGCTTGATCTTTGTCTTCGAGGAAAGGGATTTCGGCCTGCCGTCGAGAGTGGCTGAAACCTGTCTTGTCCCGCGCGACATTGTTTTTTCGCCAGCGTGACCGCCTGTGTGATCTGCACTGTCTTGAGCCCCACCGCCGGGGCGGGACAGAAACCCGCGCGATCGCATCGGCTTGCCGGGGTTTGTCGATCTCAGGCCCTTTTTGTTTTCGGTCACCGCTATCTCAACTTTCTTCCGGCAGGCCGGCAGCAAGAGCATTGACCGCCGCAGCTGCCATCGCAGAGCCGCCGCGTCGGCCTCTGAGGGCCAGAAACGGCAGGCCGAACGGGTTCTCGATCAGGGCGTCCTTGGATTCGGCAGCTCCGACAAATCCAACCGGAAATCCGAGCACAAGAGCCGGCATGGCGCCACCCGAGGCGATCGTTTCAAGGAGATGGAACAGCGTCGTCGGCGCATTTCCAACTGCGACGACGGCACCTTCCAGGCGGTCCGTCCACAATTCAACGGCGGCAGCAGAGCGGGTCGTGCCAAGGTGCTTTGCCAACTCCCGAACACGTTCATCATTGAGAGTGCAGACGACATCAGTTCCCGCGGGCAGACGGGAACGGATGATGCCATGCGCCACCATCTCGACGTCGCACAGGATCGGTGCCTTATTCCGGAAGGCGTCGTTTGCCGCTTCAAGCACCTTATCCGACCAGGCCAGTTCAGTTGGCAGATCCGACATCCCGCAGGCATGGATCAGGCGCACGGCGATCGGGTGCAATTCCTCCGGCAAACAGGAGAGATCCGCTTCGTCACGCACAATGGAAAAGGACTGACGATAGATCGCCGACGGGTCCTTTTCGTACCGGTATGCTGGTGTCGGTCGATCTGCCAAGTATTGCTCCCAGACCGGTGTTCCGCTCATTGAGCGGCTTCACCGGCGTTGTCTTCTTCTGCACCATCTGCTTCGGCTGCGTCGTCAACGTCCTGTTTCTTGCGGTCTTTCAAAGCGACGACGCCTGCAACGAGAGCGGCCCCGGCAAGAGCTGCAACGCCGATCCAGTGCGCGTGTCCGGCAAGTTCACCCAGGTGACCACCATGCGCAAAGGCTGCCGAGGGCAAAAGAACTGCAGCGAGGCTGGCGAGGACAATCCGGGTGATCATAATTCATCTCCCAAAGGCAGGTGCCGGAACCGGCAGTTGAATGACCGCGAAACAGGGAGATGAAAGCATGCAACCAACGTTGGCCGATCTTGAATCAGCCAAACATCGCGTTGCTTCGGACAGCTCCGGCCTTGGTCCCCTGAGTGGGTCAACCGCATCCAGAATCGCTTTCAGTCCCTGATAGGACGCCGTCAAGTTGCGGCAATCTAGGGGAGCGCTATTGGCGGATCAAGCGAGAAAACGACATCCATTGGTCGAAACAGACACATTGGATGACAGGATTTGTTTTTCTCCGGAATCTGACCTAAAGAATTGAGCATCTTGAAAGGGGCATTCGGGTGTGAGGCACTTCCGGCTAAAATTTCCGGACTTGAGAACAGCAGGCATGGCGCTGCTGTTGCTGCCCTTCCTGTTCACCGCACTCGTGCCTCAGGGCTTCATGCCTGCTGTCCAGGCGGATGGTGGGTTCACCGTTACGCTCTGTACCACGGACGGGTTGCGAACGGTAACTCTGGACGCCAATGGTCTGGAAATTCCTGCGCCGTCGGAAGATGACGAAGATAGTTCACTCGCGCATGGACACTGTGTTTTTGCGGGTGTCGGCGCGTTTCTCGACACTCCGCAAGCAACCGGTTTCGACTTTCGGCCCCATATC